TGGTTTTTTTTTTTTTTTAAAGTGACCACCAAGTGGGATGTGAGTTAGAAACCTACAAAATTCAACTCTGAATGAGAACTGGAAAATCTGTGCTTCTGAAAGTTCCAAATCAGTTTTTATACAAAGGATATCTTAGCATTAGTTCTCTTTTCATTTCTCGGTGAGGAAAAATATTCCACACAGCTAACTTCCTAGAATCTATTGATATTCATCGATACACCTCCAGAAGAGGAAGGAACAAGCAGGACTGTTCTATATTGCACCCCAAGTCTCAACACCTGCTGCTTTGCATCTGGGACGCAAGGCTTCGGCCTATGAACACTGCTCCGGTTTCAGCCAGTTCCCATCCCGAGTGCAAGTCACTGCAGAGGTGATACTTCTTCTAAACAAGCCAGTGTCGATAGGTTGAGCCATCAGAAATTGCTGCTCCTCAGCCATGCTGAATTACAGAAATGGTCTTATACTGGCCGACCTAACAGTCCTCAAATGCTGACTGCAATAGTGGATCACTGGATCTTCCTAGACAAAAGGGTTCTAAAGCAATATTAGAGAAAATACAAAGTAAATAGTACCAGGCCGAGAGCCTGTTACTAAGGGTAACTACTACCCAACCACGAAACACTACATATAATATGTTGATGGTGCAGGCAGAGACCGGGTCTCATACTCTGCTATCTCCCACTTAGATCTGGCTACTCAGTGACAGGCCCAACCCAACACGTTTCTGTATGTGACAAAAAACATTAAGTCCAAGTCGTCGCCTGCTGATCGGAGAAATGATGATGGTTATTCTTCCTGAGAATAAAATGAACTGTTCCCGACAGCACTCTAGGAAACATCTTTATTACCTGGGAATGGAACGGATATTCCACAAAACTGCTACGATTGCTCTTAGCACTTCTAGTTTGCAAATTAGATTTCAACTGTGAATTACACTGAAATAAGTTTAAGTTTGGCCATTTTGACTTGCTCCCTAATTCCAGGTGCACAGACGAGATGCAAAGGCAGTAGGAGGAGCGTGGCCTTGGCGCCCACTTGCAGTTCTCCGACACCGACGCCAGTGTCACTGGCCATTTGCGAAGAGACTGCCCAACACTAGTGGCACAAGCTGTGAGCACGGCCTCCAGCATCGCCCCCAGCTCCTCCGGCTGCTCTAGACCCCACACTGCCTCTATTCCTCTCGTTTCTCAGCCAGCTACTGCTGCCACAGTTTCTTGATCCTTCCTGCTCTTCATGACTCCGGTACTGTCAGAATAATGATCAGAACATTGTAGAATGTCCCTCCTCTGGAGTTTGACCCACCAGTTTACTGTACCCTCATTTAAAACCAAACCTGTGCTATCACTAACATCCAAGAGCCAGAAACTAAAAACTCTGCAAATCATTCTTAGTAATTGCGGCACTTACACCCCAGACTCTACTTTTGGCATCAAAGCTAATTCAGATTTCGCCAAATGTAATACGATGCTTTTTCAGCATTTGATGTGAACACTGACCCGAAGCAATTCCCTAGACTCTGGTATCAAGGGAAATGGCAGGAAGACAGAGCGGCTTTGGGAAACACAGGTACCAGCATGGCCTTTAGTGGGAAAGCAAGGGCTAATTAGCTTGGCCGTTCCGTAGGAGCATCCCAGGAGGAACAATATGAATTTCCTGTCACTGGAAGTTCCGCCACCACAGCTCTGCAGGGCCAGGCCGTGTGAACCCCACCTGCTAGTGTGCCAAGCCGCAGCGGCTGTGCGCCGTGTGGGCACGCATTTCCATCAGAGGGTGGGTGGAACTCTGCAGCACAGAGAGCACCTCGGCAGAAGGAGGAGAGGCCTTGCACGGTACGAATTCCTGATTAGGCCGTGCGTCATTTGGCTAACAAAGTTACGACGATATCCTTTTAAGTAAAAAGGGCGCATGAAAAGTCAGGTCGAAGAACGTTAACTTGTGAGCCACTCCAAGAATCTGATGAATCCTTGGCCAACTGTATCTAAAACCCAAATTCCATTTACATAAAAACCAGTGGCAATTGCATTTCTCAAAAAGCAAAACGACTCTGTTTGTTTTTTAAGCTTCTTTCAGGTCTCTGCCACCCTACTTCCTACTGGTCTGGAAGCCACTGACCACTGCCCATCTTGCTGCCCTGAATCCCTTGCAGCTATGCTTGCTCTTGTGTCTTTGCTGTCCCTCTGTCCTCCAGTGTGCTATCAGATTTCTATTCAAGTCCTGGAGCAATCCCAGGGTTGCCCTGCTGTAGAATCTGCACTGAACTCCCACAGCTCTACACCGTCTGTCAGTACTCAAGCCCTCCGAAAGCTAGTGCACAACCTCGACTCAGCCAAATCCCACCCCCTCGAGTCTGAGCTTGCCTCTCTGCGTGCTTGGCCTGACTACCAGGTAGGGATCAAGATAGCAGAGAGCAGCACGGGAGAATGGGCAGCTCAGGGAAGCCTAGTAGGATGGATCCAAGGGGCTGCCTGGAAAGACGCCCATGGGAACTCATGTTGCGGGGGGGCCGGGCCTCCTGGAGCACGGCCGCTCAGGCCCATTCAATGCTGCCATCATGCTTCTCTCATGTCACACTGATACCTTCTGCCCAGCACAGCAGGTCTCCCCTAGTTTTATCACCTTTCAAGTGGTTGTTCAAGTCACTCATTCTTTCTTTTAAGTAGTAATATTTACCAAATATCACTGTGTGTCAGTTACTATACCAACCCAGGGTATAGAGTAGAAAATATGACAGTCTTTGCCCCTAGGGATCTTGAAATACAGTACAGGTGGGCAGATAAATGCAAGATGAGTAAGTAACTATGGAATTAAAAACAGAATGAAAAATTTACATACTCAGGAAGGTCTTTAAACTGAAAAGAATAATTTTCTTTCCCTTTGTGTGCTGAAGAAAAAGTAGGAGAGAAAACACTGCAGCTGAGGTTAGAAGAGCCAGTCACACAGCGGGCAGGGCCTGACCTCACTGCCTTCCTCGGGCATCTGCCTCGCTCAGGCTATACTCCCGAGGTGACACCTGACCTGCACGTGTGGGTCCTTGATTGAGGATGCAGTTCCTTTTTAAAACTACAATAATGTCTTGGACTCCCAAGTGCCACCGTGAGTCACATTTGTGCTTACCGCTTACATACAGCTAGATCTGAGACCCTGCAGCACTTCCGAGGCCACCAGTCGGCCAGCTGTGGGTAGAGCAAAGTATACACAGGAGGACTGAGGCTAACGCTCACTGAATGCCTCCATCCCCGCCTCCCCGCCGCACCCCGGCAGGTCTATGCACAGCAGCACCCTCCCACTCCACTGGATATTCCAGGTGGAACTTGGCCTCCCATTCTCCCAGTTCCAGGAGTACAACCTTCTACCCCTACCAATCCTCCTGAGGAACACAACTCTGACACATTCTTGTTCTTCTAGGTATCGTGGACTTGGCTCAGCCCCTGCTATGTGCCAGATGGCAGTGGAAGCCCTGTGTTCCCTGCCTGCCAAGTCTGAGCCAACTCACTCCTGCCCGTGTGAAGCTGCTTGGCGATGGGGACAGTGCCTCCCCACCTCTGTGCTCGCAGCCTACTGCCCTAGATAGGGTGTGCACACCCTGGAGGAGGCACTCTGGAAGGATCAGCTCACTAATTTCCCGGTTCTCTTTAGTACTCCATTAGATCAGAAAACAGCAAAGATTTTACACAACAGTAGGATCACTAGAAAGAGCCTAGAAGAGTGCACGTTATTTTCCTTGACATGTCTGCTTAAACCTGCAGAACGTTTTACAACTCAAAATAACTCTTTCACATCCATTTTCCCCATAAGATTATTAAGAAGTTTGGTGAGAAAGAAGGGATAGTACTACTTTGGTGACTCGGGGAAACAGTTAATAGCCCCAGAGACTGTGGGAACAGCCTCTGACGGACACAGCAAACGGCAGCACTGTGTCTCGCCATCAGCAGCAACGATGGTACTCACGGAACACCTTTCCACTACATTCTTTCTTTCTGTTCTCAGACTTTACATGTACTAACCACTTTAACCCTCACGCGAGCCCTATGTGTAGACACTGGCTCCATCCCATCGTACAGATGTGGAAACTGAAACACAGAAAGTAGCTTGTCCAAGGTCACGTGTGATTCGAGTTGATGGAGCCATGATTTCTCAGCAAGCAGCCTTGCTGTAGAGCCAGTTTTCTGACCTACTGTGCTCCGCTGTGCCATCACATGCCGCACCCTACTTGGGCCTCAGTTCACGGGCTAGAGAGTAGGCGCTTTTTATAATAAAAAACTGAATAGTAACAGCCCTGTTATGAGTTGCCATGTGATGGGTACCATGTAAGTAACACATGTTTAAATCTGTTAAATATTCAAACCAACCCTACAAAAGGTGGAAGTAAGAAACCAGGTTCAAGATCATGAGTTTTGCAAATGCCAGAACACCTATGAGCCAGACTGTCTTGACCCCCAAATCTGTGACTTCCTAAATGCCTGATGTGTGGTCTCGGCTGGCAGCGTGAACCACACTTCACAGCTCCTCGGGGCTCCCTCCACTGGACTGGGGACTATCGGGAGAAATAAGACAAGGCTCTGACAAAATCACGAAGTGAAAGGAGGGTCCTGAAGCTGAGAGAGGACAGGAAAGGCCTCCAGCGTAAACTATATTAACATGCATGCACACACGAACATTCACAATTCGATCACGGTTCTTGTACATACTGTTCCCCTTCTTCTGGATGTCAAAATATCAGAGACTGTAAAGACCTAAATGACAGCTATGCATGTACCTTCTTTAGTTTTGTACTTAGCTGAGTATTACATACAATCAAGACGTGATTGCGTGGGAGAAAGCTGGACCTGTAAAACTCTACTTGATGTTAGCATTACTAGAATAACTGTCAGTTTTTTACATTGTTGCCTATATTAAGGGAGAAAACTACATTATCTCATTTTCCCAAAAGCAATTTACCACTGGGGAAAGGTAGTGGTATAATTTTTTTATTTGATTATGATAAAGGAGACTCTAATTACCTTGACAGAATCCAGTAAACTCTTAGGAAAAAATCGCTTTAAACCAACATCTTTTCTGAAATATAAAAAGAAGTGCATTAACAAATAACACCACCAAATCAATTAATATAATGACATATTTGCAAGAACATAAAAGCACTTTCTTCACCCTTCCACATATCATCCAGGAAGGAAACAAACATAACTCCCCAATTTACAATGTACTCACGAAAGCAGCGAGACAAATAATTTGGTCGGTAGGCACAGAAAACACGAACACAAGCTAGATTGAACCTTTTTTTAATGTTTACATTAAAAACTCTTCTAAAATACTGCCTCTTTGCAAATTAAAATCTGTAAGAAAACTGTTTCTTTTTCACATATCACTTGAAGGTTATCTTATAAATAGCAGTTCCAAATGGGTAATAATTATTTTTGCAGAGAAAGTAGCTGGCCTAACTAGGAAAAGATTCAGGACATGTCTTGAAAGTTTTGTTTTTTTGAAAATAAATCCTTTGGATTTATCTTAAAAGTTGACTATTTTTAAAATAAAATCTTTAAGAAACTCACTCACCTAATCCTGGGTTAGTCACTCAGTTTTACATATAAAAAAATGAAAAAAAGAAGAAAGAGATTTGCTCTAGGTCAAAAAACTGAATGTGTGGAAATTTGAGAAATCCCAGCAATTTTCCTTAAATCAGGCTATAAAATTCAATGATCACTGTTACCGAGAGCCTCTCAGTAAGGCCAAAAGATAGGAAGAACAGCTTGTCTACCCTTTGGGTACTGGTAAGGAGCTACTTTGACCACTAGATGGCACTTTTGTGCTACTAAGATGGAAAATCGCCTCTAGAGACAGTAAGGAATATTAGGAAACAGGGAAAATACAGAAGGATCAAGGAGGAGGAAAAGTGAAATATAGACACCCTTTCAGAATCACGTAGTATCAAAACCGAGAGACAACCTCACCTGTAACCATTAGCCAGAATTATACACAAAAATACAGAAATCTTACTAAGAGTTTATATGGTTGATCTGTATCCAAGTATTTTAATCTCCAATTCTGTAACTACTACATAGTGCCTAAAACCAATGAACACCTTCTTGCTAAAACCACTCATCCTTTTTCACTCTGTTACTATTACCATGATCACTGTATCCTCTAATTCTGCCTGTTTCCAAGACAGAATTTCTGGTCTCTGGTTTTACCTCTCGGATAATTCATTTCTTGTAACTCCTGGTTTTCCAATTCTCTTTCGAACAGTTTTCATCTGTAACTTCCCTTTGTTACCTTTTCAGAACTGCCATTCTCTCTTTTATACTACTGAGTGTGAAGAGA